CCGGTCGATCGATTGGGGTCCGGATGGGGTCCGGTCGATCGAAATCGGATCCGGATGGGGCTGGATTCGGATGGGTCCGGTCGGTCGATTTGGGTCCGAACGGGGCCCGGTCGATCGATCCGGATCCGGATGGGGCTGGATTTGGATGGGTCCGGACGATCGGCCCGGGTCCGGATGGGGTCCGGTCGATCGATTCGGATCCGGATGGGGTCGGATTCGGACGGGCTCGATCGATTGATCCGGATGGGTCCGGTCGATCGATTGGGGTCCGGATGGGGCCCGGTCGATCGATTCGGATCCGGATGGGGCTGGATTCGGATGGGTCCGGGCGATCGGCCCGGATCCGGATGGGGTCCGGTCGATCGATTCGGATCCTGGATGGGTCCGGACGATCGGCCCGGGTCCGGATGGGGTCCGCTCGATCGATTCGGATCCGGATGGGTTCGATCGATCCGATCCGGATGGGTCCGGTCGATCGATTCCGGTCCGGATGGTGCCCGGTCGATCGATTCGGATCCGGATGGGGCTGGATTCGGATGGGTCCGGTCGATCGATTCGGGTCCGAATGGGGCCCGGTCGATCCATCCGGATCCGGATGGGGCTGGATTTGGATGGGTCCGGACGATCGGCCCGGGTCCGGATGGGGTCCGATCGATCGATTCGGATCCGGATGCGGTCGGATTCGGATGGGTTCGATCGATCGACCCGCATGGGTCCGGTCGATCGATTGGGGTCCGGATGGGGCCCGGTCCATCGATTCGGATCCGAATGGGGCTGGATTCGGATGGGTCCGGTCGATCGATTTGGGTCCGGATGGGATCCGGTCGATCGATTCGGAACCGGATGGGGCCCGGTCGATCGAAATCGGATCCGGATGGGGCTGGATTCGGATGGGTCCGGTCGATCGATTCGGGTCCGGATGGGGTCCGGTCGATCGATGGGGGTCCGGATGGGGCCCGGTCGATCGAAATCGGATCCGGATGGGGCTGGATTCGGATGGGTCCGGTCGGTCGATTTGGGTCCGAATGGGGCCCGGTCGATCCATCCGGATCCGGATGGGGCTGGATTTGGATGGGTCCGGACGATCGGCCCGGGTCCGGATGGGGTCCGATCGATCGATTCGGATCCGGATGCGGTCGGATTCGGATGGGTTCGATCGATCGACCCGCATGGGTCCGGTCGATCGATTGGGGTCCGGATGGGGCCCGGTCCATCGATTCGGATCCGAATGGGGCTGGATTCGGATGGGTCCGGTCGATCGATTTGGGTCCGGATGGGGTCCGGTCGATCGATTCGGATCCGGATGGGGCCCGGTCGATCGAAATCGGATCCGGATGGGGCTGGATTCGGATGGGTCCGGTCGATCGATTCGGGTCCGGATGGGGTCCGGTCGATCGATGGGGGTCCGGATGGGGCCCGGTCGATCGAAATCGGATCCGGATGGGGCTGGATTCGGATGGGTCCGGTCGGTCGATTTGGGTCCGAATGGGGCCCGGTCGATCCATCCGGATCCGGATGGGGCTGGATTTGGATGGGTCCGGACGATCGGCCCGGGTCCGGATGGGGTCCGATCGATCGATTCGGATCCGGATGCGGTCGGATTCGGATGGGTTCGATCGATCGACCCGCATGGGTCCGGTCGATCGATTGGGGTCCGGATGGGGCCCGGTCCATCGATTCGGATCCGAATGGGGCTGGATTCGGATGGGTCCGGTCGATCGATTTGGGTCCGGATGGGGTCCGGTCGATCGATTCGGATCCGGATGGGGCCCGGTCGATCGAAATCGGATCCGGATGGGGCTGGATTCGGATGGGTCCGGTCGATCGATTCGGGTCCGAATGGGGCCCGGTCGATCGACCCGGATCCGGATGGGGCTGGATTCGGATGGGTCCGGACGATCGGCCCGGGTCCGGATGGGGTCCGGTCGATCGATTCGGTTCCGGATGGGGCTGGATTCGGATGGGTTCGACCCATCGATCCGGATGGGGTCGATCGATGGATCCGGATGGTTTCGTTGGTTCGATCCGGATGGGTTGGATCGATGGATCCGGATGGGTTCGGTCAGTCGACCCGGATGGGTTCGATGGTCGGATCCGGACGGGTTCGATCGATGGATCCGGATGGGTTCGATCGGGCGAACCCGATGGGCTTGCCCCTTGGGTGCTCGCCTTGCCTTGTACTGGGTTGTGCGGTGCCCTGGGGGAAAAAAAGGCATCCGATCCATCCGGTCATATCCGGATGCTCGTTGGCTCTAGGGTGGTGTGGTGCCTCGAAAGGGCTCGCACCCGCCCTAGAGCCCTTTTTGCCCGGTTGGAAATCGACTACACCGGAAGGGCTTGTGGGCTCTAGGGCGGTGCCGTGCCTCGAAAGGGCTCGCACCCGCCCTAGAGCCCTTTTTGCCCGGTTGGAAATCGACTACACCGGAAGGGCTTGTGGGCTCTAGGGCGGTGTCGTGCCTCGAAAGGGCTCACACCCGCCCTGGAGCCCTTTTTGCCCGGTTGGAAATCGACTACACCGGAAGGGCTTGTGGGCTCTAGGGCGGTGTCGTGCCTCGAAAGGGCTCCCACCCGCCCTGGAGCCCTTTTTGCCCGGTTGGAAATCGACTACACCGGAAGGGCTTGTGGGCTCTAGGGCGGTGTCGTGCCTCGAAAGGGCTCACACCCGCCCTAGAGCCCTTTTTGCCCGGTTGGAAATCGACTGCACCGGAAGGGCTTGTGGGCTCTAGGGCGGTGTCGTGCCTCGAAAGGGCTCACACCCGCCCTAGAGCCCTTTTTGCCCGGTTGGAAATCGACTGCACCGGAAGGGCTTGTGGGCTCTAGGGCGGTGTCGTGCCTCGAAAGGGCTCACACCCGCCCTGGAGCCCTTTTTTTCCCGGTTGGAAATCGACTACACCGGAAGGGCTTGTCGGCTCTAGGGTGTTGTCGTGCCTTGAAAGGGATCACACCCGCCCTGGAGCCCTTTTTGCCCGGTTGGAATTCGATTACACGGGAAGCCTGTGGGCACTAGGGTTGGATGAACCCATGGGCCGGTTCCGATCCGCCCTAGGGGCAAAGAAACCAAGGGGGGATGGGCCCAAGG